AAATTGGAATAGTCTTTTTTGTGAGCAACATTGGATGCTAAAAGTCAATTGACTTAAAATTCCAGGGGGAAGCCAGGCGCAGTGGTTTGTGCCTGTAATCCCAGCTACTAGAGAGGCTGAGGCAGCAGGATTGCTTGAGCTCAAGAATTCAAGGCTGTGGTAAGCTATGATCTCACACCTGTACTCCAGCCTGGGTGACAGAGTGAGACCCTTTCTCCAAAACTGTAATAATAAAAATTAAAATTCCAAGGGAAAAATGATTTTGAATCTTACGTTCTATGCCCAGCCAAACTACTAAGTATGAAAGTAACAGAAAGATAACTTAATACATTCAAAGAAAGATTCAGAAAATTTTACTCTCACACATCCTTTCTTAGGCAGTTGCTTGAAATTGAGCAGCAGTAAAACAAGATGTTAACCAAGAAAGAAAAAGCCCAAGAATCCATTTTTAGTAGATTCAGCCCAGGAACTTAAGGAAAGGAAGTTCAAAGATGACAGTTACAGGACAGGTCTAGATTGCATTAGGAGGCAGATAGAGGATTCAAGGAAAGCAGCATCTATGAGGGGAGAATAAATGGGTGAGGTATTCTATGTATTTGCTTTTACCTGTGAACTATTGAGTGAACTTAAACTTAAGGTGGATATTGCTATACTAAAAGGAAGGCTGCAAAACTTCAGGGGAGGCAATGTGCTGCGCAAGGAAGACAACCACTCCACTTGATTCTGCATGAAAAATATTTTTACCTTCTGTCTCTCAAATCAGTCTATTCTCTGTAACTCTAGTACCACCACCACTCTAGAATTACAATCATTTCTTGTTTAGATTTCTCAGCATCCTTTTAACTGGTTTCTTGCATCCTTTCTGTCTTACCTCAAGTCTGTACTCCAGATTATACTCCATATAGTGATGTTTTTCAAAATGCAAATCTGTTTATGCCTCCTGTTTGGTTAAAACACTTCAGTGGCTTCCCATAGCTCTTAGAATCTAAATCATTAGCATCCCCTAAAAGGTTCTATGTTGTCACATGGTTAGCCAGTCCCTAAGCAGCAATGTGGTGGTAGCTGCTATGTAGCCTTGCCTCACTTCTGTAGATTTGGCTGGTAAGGACACCCTAATGGATTTAGACAGTTTATTATTTACACAGATGGCAAAGCAAGATCAACATGGTATTAGCTGCTTACATCCTCAGTTCCACAGGATGATACCAAACTAGAGGGGTCAGATGACTTGATGACATGAATGGTGGATTGGTTTGATTTTGAGAAGTGAACTCTAGGCTGCAGCTAAGCAGTTTTATCTGAAAGGGGCAAAGTGGAAAGTTCCGTGCCTTATTGGAACAGGTAGGCAGATGAGAAACTGCCTCATGGCAAGTCTTCTGCAAGATAGGGGGTCTTCTGCAAGGTATAGAGAAAATGTGAAATAGCCTTTGATAGCTCCTCATAAGACTGCCTATCTTGCCAGTTTGAGGATGACCACAGGACATTCTGCCAACAGTTGAATCTTACCTACATGGTCTATGTGGAGACATGCAATTGCCGTGGTGCCATGGTGGAACTGTTCCCCTACAAACATAGGCTACCTTTGCTACCACTATAGTTTCATCTTATGTACTTTCTCTTATTTGCTAGCATCAGTCATACTGACCTTTCAGTTTCTCCAGTGCGCCATGCTTTTCCTTGTCATAGAGCTTTAGCATATGCTATTCCCTCTGCCTGAACCCCACTTTCTCCTTTTTCTTGTTAACTTCCCCTCTTTCTACACTACTTAGCCCAACATTCCTGACCAGAACAGTTCCCGTTATCACATAGCATGGTGTACCTCTCCTTCACAGCATCCAGAACAACTTTAGTTTTAAAATTATTTATATAATCTTGAATTGATGTAATAATATACATTAACATATTTGTTTATCACTTAATTTTCAAATGTTTTTACTTAATTGCATTCTATCTTTTCATCTCTGTGAGATATATAGATATTATTTTTAATATTTTTTCCCAAATAAGAGTCTATGTTAGAACTCATTTTTTTTACTTTATTTTAGTGTTCCTCTGTTTCACCACTATGTTTTTCCTGTAAATACATTAAATATAAGGGAGCATACAATAAGCAAGAGGCACAAAGAACATGCCACAGGGGCCCAAAGGAGAAGGAAATCAGATCAGGTGATGACCATAGACCTCCAACCCAGAGGTGCCATTTGAGTTAGACTTGAAGGTTGAGGCTGGGCACGGTGGCTCAAGCCTGTAATCCCAGCACTTTGGGAGGCCGAGGCGGGTAGATCACGAGGTCAAGAGATCGAGACCATCCTGGTCAACATGGTGAAACCCCGTCTCTACTAAAAATACAAAACATTAGCTGGGCATGGTGGCACGTGCCTGTAATCCCAGCTACTCAGGAGGCTGAGGCAGGAGAATTGCCTGAACCCAGGAGGCGGAGGTTGCGGTGAGCCGAGATCCTGCCATTGCACTCCAGCCTGGGTAACAAGAGTGAAACTCTGTCTCAAAAAAAAAAAAAAAAAAAAAAAGACTTGAAGGTTGGTAGGCATCCGGTGGGCAAGGAAGTGAAGGTCTTCTAAGACAAGAGATAGTATCAAAACTACAGTTATAGAAAGGCGTGGGACTATTTGAAGAATGGCAATTGAATGTGTTTACATGGATGTAGGGTTAATATGGGTGCCAGGAAAGGAAGCTGGAATTGGAGAGTGCAGGACCTTGAAGATGGAATTGATTTTTGTTGGAAGTAGGAAATAACTCGCGTTTCTAAGTGGGCAAAACAATGTGTAGAATAAATTGTAGCATGGAGGACTGGATTCAAAGAAACCAGTTCTGGTTTAAGTGAGAGGTAACAGGATCATGACTTGGGACAAAACACCTGAAGCAGTGAGTCATGACACACCTCACAAAGTTTAATGTCAAAGCCTTTCAGTCAGTGACAAATAGGAATACACTTGTATTTGAGGAATGTTAGGTTTATTTAATGTACTGCAGCAAAGGAGAGCACCATGGCAACAGAACCGTGGGTCATCTCAGGGAGCCGGGAGAATTTTCTTCTTACAGGATTTCAGAATCTTATTATAGGATTTCAGTGTGTGCTGGGTGACTCTTAGGAAAGGTTTAGGGAAAGCAGAGGTCAGCTCTAGATTTGATGCTCTCAAGAAGTAAGATATTGGGTATTTTGGTACCTTTTATTTTGGAAATGAGAGGATTTAATAAATAGTAGTCATCTGTGCTAGCCAGAAGAGGGGGATGTTTCATTATTTTTTATGGTTCTTGAGGATTGTTTTCTCTAGTTTCAGAAATAATTACATGATAGTCTTATCTCTGTCTTTTACTGTGGTTACAGAGTGGTCTTATCTGGGTATTTATATTCTGAAAATTGTTTGTTCACTTGAGAATGCTGTGGTTTAGCTGTCAGCTTCCAGCCACCAGGTGTTTTCTTTTTACTTTATCAGTACCCAATACATTAATCTGCACAGCCCTAAGGACCAGCCGTTGCCTCATCCATTCACCCCAGGCTGCTATATATATATAGTCATTGTCTAGACGTGTCATGACTTGGAAAAGCTCGATTGAACAATGGGACCAAAAATGAGGAGTAAAGGACCAAGAAATGTTGTAAAGGTTTTCAAGCTCTCCACTACCTCCAGCATTTCTGGTTCACTTAAAATCTGTGCTCAAGCAAAAATAAGCTGATTTCAGCTACTACTATCTGTGATTTGCTGCCTTTGGGTATTATGCCCTCTACCCGGAATATCTTCTCTTGGTCTCATTCTCATGTTCATATTTCTGTCTGTCCTTCAAGGACCAGTTCAAACATCTCTCTCCTTCCCCATGCTATTGTTGAAAGCTAAGATCAAGAAAAAGCTGATGTAAAATACAATAAATGAGGAATAAATTATATGTTTGGAGATATTAATTCTAACTTAGAGGAGTCAAGATGGAAGCAATCTCTCATTTCTGTGAATTTATATAGCAAATTCCCTAGATCCCTAAAGCATTTAATTATATTTATTAAATATGTATTATATGCTGTTTACTAACTTCTGTCAGCAGTATCATCAAAATGTCATGATGTTTGCTGCTGCTTTTTTTTTTTTTTTTTAAGCATGTGGCAGGGTGCTAGATCCACAGAAGAGTCAAGGTCAACGTTGGTTTCCTTGTTTGTGTGTGTGTGTGTGTGTGTGTGTGTGTGTGTGTGTAATTTTTTTTATTAAAGAGATGGGATTTCACCATGTTGGCCAGGATGGTCTTGATCTCCTGACCTCGTGATCCACCCGCCTTGGCCTCCCAAAGTGCTGGGATTGCAGGTGTGAGCCACCGCACCCAGCCAATGTTTGCTTCTTTCCAGGATTTTCAAGCTTAAGTACAAAGCAGCAAGAGAGGTTTTAAACTTCACCCTCATTGTTACCTCATTTACTATAAAAGTTACTGATATGTGGCCATATTTGGCCCTATTTTATACACACACACACACACACACACACACACGTACACACACACGTAAAATATATACCAAGGAGGTTGAGAGTATTAAGTTATATATATATATATGTGGTATAATATATATATATATATCAGGGAGGTTGAGAGAAGCTTGCAGATGGCTAGATGTTTCATGTTGGGACTAATAGTGAGACAGGGAGACAACTTATTGAAAATATATTTTAAAAATTACCAGGCATGGTGGTAAGTGCCTGTAGTCCTAGCAACAGAGGAGGGTGAAACAGGAGGATCTTTTGATCCCAGAAGATTGAGACTGCAGTACTAATTATTGTGCCTGTGAATAGCCGCGACACTCCAGCTTAGACAACATAGCAAAAGCCCATCTCTTTATTTAAAAAAAAAAAAAAAGTTACATGGATTACAAAACATTTGAGGAAGTGTAAAAAATCAATATTGTATATTATCTGAAATGAAGGAAACTGGATGAAAATTATATTAAATTAACAATAATAAATGTAGTGACAAAGAGTTTTGTTTTTGTTATATTAATTTAGGAATGACTGCCAGCAAAAAACCTGGGAACCGAGAATGCAATCATCCTTGTAAAAATAAACATACATGTGGACATGACTGCTGTGAGTTCCTTAAAACAAGTTTATTTCAAGTGTTCAAAATTAAAAGGTCTTTGGTGGATAGTAATGACATCCTAATTATCTGTTTATGATATTTATATTATGCAACTTATAACTCTCAAATAATTTTTTTTTTTTTGAGACGGAGTTTCGCTCTTGTTGCCCAGGCTGGAGTGCAATGGCGCGATCTCAGCTCACCGCAACCTCCGCCTTCTGGGTTCAGGCAATTCTCCTGCCTCAGCCTCCTGAGTAGCTGGGATTACAGGCATGCGCCACCATGCCCAGCTGATTTTTTGTATTTTTAGTAGAGATGGGGTTTCACCATGTTGACCAGGATGGTCTCGATCTCTTGACCTCGTGATCCACCCGCCTCGGCCTCCCAAAGTGTTGGGATTACAGGCGTGAGCCACCGCGCCCGGCCAAATAATTTTCTTTCTTTTGTGGGCAACATGAAAAAAGTAAATACTAGATTTGAAATTTTAAAGAAATTTGACTTTATATGTATAAGATCTGAAGTTTAAAGAATCTGAAGCTTCTTTTCATAGGTAAAATTGGAGTTGCACGGAAGTCAGAAATTAAAGAGTCAACAATTTCTTCATATTTGTCTGATTTAAGAAACAGGAATGCTGTTTCATCTGTTCCTCCAGTTAAACGTCTGAAGGTTAGTTTTAATAACATTTTTCCCTTTGTTCTGTAATTAAATGTATATAAATATATTTGTTCTGTGTATCAATTAGGTAGATATCCACAGTGTACTTTAGAATTACTTGTGGGCTTGACTAAGAATATTACCATTATTCATAATTCATCTTCCCTTCTTTCTTCCTTCCTTTTCTTCTTCTAAATCTTTCTTCTTTCCTTCCATCTTCATTGAGCACCAAGAGTATGCCAAAGTGCTAAGATGCAGTGATGAATAAGACAGTCTTATTCCCAATCATAGAATTTGTAGTTGAGTGAGAGATACAAAAGTAAACATGCTTTTTCAATATAGTGTGATGAGTGATTCTGTGACAGAAGTATAACACACTTAAGTTTAGATAGAAAATGTACTCAATCCACATTTGATGGAAGGATTCCTAATAGATGTGATTGAGACCTGAAGGATAAGCCAAGGATGGAGGGGCAGGCATCAGAATGATAGTAGGAAGGGATAGCTAAATATTCCAGACATAGAGATTATACAAAGGGCCAGAGGTAATAAAGAAAGGGAGAGAGGGAAATCTTTAAGGAAACTCTTTCTCATTAATACAGTATGTCTAGAATTCAATTACAAGTAAAGGAGTAGAGAGAGATGAGGTAAATAGGAGCTAGATCATGCAGACCTTTTTGCTATTTTAAGGAATTAGACTTTATCGTGAAAGTACTGGGAAGCCAATGAAAAGTTTTAACCAGTGACATGATCAAAATTGTATTTTATAAAGATCAGTCTGGCTGCAATGTAGAAAAGGTATTAGAATATGATAGAATAGGAACAAAGGGACTCATTAGGTGGTTTTTCCAATAATCTCAGCAAAGTAATGGCTTAGTTTAGGGTAGTGGCAGTAGCAATGGAGAGAAGTGACTGGGTTAAAATATTTTTCAGAGGTAGAATTACTACCTTGCTACTTCATTGGTCATAAAAGACAAAATAGAAGGAGGAGTTAAAAATGATGCCCAGCTTTCTGGTATTAGCAACTGGGAGAAAAGCTTAGCCTCGTTCTGGTAGATATTCTGAAGGAAAAGCGAGTTTGCTGGAACAGGATAAGTTCAATTTGGGAAATATTGAATTTAGAGGGCCTACAAGATGTCTAGATAAAGATATTCTACAGACAAGTTGGCTATAACTGTTTGAAAATCAGGAGAGAGAGCTAAGCTAGAAACAGAGATTTGAGAGTCATTCACACATAGATGATAATTGAAGCCACAGGAATAAATGAGATCTTTGATTGAGAATGTGTAGTGTAAGAAGAGACCTAGTAAAGAATCATGAAGAATGCCGACATTTAAGAAGGGCCTGAGTGAAATATTAGCGTTGGGAACTAGCCTGAGTTTCTCCTAGTTCACTGATTTGGGAACTTTATGTACCAGCAGGAATTTTGTTGTTTGTCTCATGTGTTAAATGTTCTTGATGTGAAACTGAGAGTTTAACTTATTTTTGTTTCATTAATAGATGCAGATGAATAAGTCTCAAAGAGTGGACCTTAAAGAGTTTGGTTTTACTCCAAGACCTTCCCTTCCTAGTATATCAAGGTACAAATATAATGTTAATATCTAAGGTAAAATATTTATCATAAACTCTGTTCCTGCAGGTAACTACTTATTCAAGGAAAGATAGTCACTGGCTACCATCAAATCACAGTTATCATTTAATTCCATAATGAAGCAATAACATCATAATGGTTTCATTTTCTTTGCTACCCTGAATTTATTTAGAACTCCACAGTTAGGGAATAACATTCATTAAATCGTCTCTTTCCTAGGAAACTTTCTATCCTATGTCATTCCGTTAGGCTTTCTCTTTATAGGGAATATAAATCAAGTGACAAGAGTATACTTTAAAAATGGAAATCATGTTGGTGTGCAAAGTCTAAATTTCCATTTAGAGGCTCAGTCCATATTAATAATATCTCAGATTTATAATTTGAAAATTACACATTTGCACATTATCTTTTCTGACTTAACACCATGGCCCATACAATGAGCCATAAAATTTTTTATCCCATTGTATAGATGGAAAAACTGAAGTTCATATTCCTAGTTAGCAAGCAGAAGGCCTTAGGTGGTAACTCAGTGTTCTTTTCCTGTATCATGATGCCTACAGGACAATCATACATGTAATTTCCTTTTCAGATAAGGGCATTCTGTATGCAGTAATGACATTCAATATATTTAAACTAGTACAGAGCAGGAACTGACTCATCAGAATAGATGCCAGCACTGCTTCTAGAGATCCTGGCTTTTGTTATCTAACTAAGGGCATGTAAAGATGTCTAAGTATTGGTCACTTCCATTAAACACCTGTTTATTTGCTATTTTGTTTATATGAATAAGTAGTTTTCAGGCTTAGATAAATTTTTGTATTTTCTTTAACACTTTTATGGTTTTATCTATATAAAGGTCAGAATATTTAAACTTATCTGAATTGCCTATAATGGAGCAGTGGGATCAGCATGAAATCTGTGGAAAATTTAGACAAGAACCATCTGAATATCAAGACAAAGGTAAATTACCATTGATACTTTCTTGAGAGAGTGAATTATTTGAATTGACAAGTAATGTTATTGAAACACCAGCATCTGAATTTATTGTAATTATTAACTTGGCAACATTTTTCTCTTAGATTACTGAATTATTTTCAGATTCTTGGGTCTGTTATTCAGATGGTCTATGTTTATCATATTTTTAAAAAAATCTCTTTTCTACATAATGTTGACTATTAAAGATACTATGAGGAAAATCTTAGCAAATAAGGGATCCTTGGGTATAAAGAGTAATAAATGCTGAATGATTACATTCATATATATTTAAAATTATTTAAAATAGTTTTATGTTTATAAAACTAGTCCAGTTTTACAAAATATCAGTGTGACCTTGGGCAAGTTATTTAATCTCTTTGGGCTTTAGTCTTACCTTTAAAATGAAGGTATTGAACTGGGTGACCTTTAGCATCTCTCCAGTTCTTAAACCTATGATTCTTAAAACTTCTATGTTAGTATGAGAATATAACTTAGGTTATGGATATAGCTAGTGTGTAATCTAGATTTGCTTTTTGTCTGTCATTAATGAGATAATGCATTTTGTCTGTGTCTGTCATTAAATTAATGAGAGAAATTCAACACTGTGTCTGGTTCATCATTACTCTGGCTCCTGCCATTAATATAGCATAATTTCCCTGGATCATGCTATTAACAGTCAGCCTGTTAAAACATATGAGACAATCCTGGCCATTGAGTTATTTCAAGTGGCTGTGTGTAGAAATGGTAAGCTTGGGGATTTCTGAAAATAATTTCATGTGTTCAGCATTGGCTTCTGTTGACATTCTTTTCTTCATGCTGTCACTTTTTTTTCCTGTAGTCATAATTTAAGATTTTACGGAGGCAAGGGCTGGAGTATTCACTACCTCTTAATGATACTATGGCAGCCATTACGTTCAATATGAGATCAAGAAAAGTTCCCTAATCTCATCTGGAGAATCAGAGCATTTATCCAACTTATTCAAAGCCTGAATATCATTGCAAAGTAGATAGGAAGTATAAAATTGTCACGCCTTTTATATTTATCTCTGTTCAATATGTAGCCCTCTAATTTATTTCTTCCTTATACTACTGCACTATTACTTGTCCTGCACACACGAGTTTATCTTTCCTTCTGCTTATTTTTGTGTTATATTTACATGGTTTTCCTACTTTTCTTTCCCACTCACTATTCCAAATCCAATTTATATTATGATATTAAAGCCTCACCTAGATACTTTAGCTCCCAGTAATAATTGTATCCCTGTTTTATTGAGTGGGCGGCTTTTTTTGTTGTTGTTGTTGTTGTTGAAAGAGCTGTATGGTATAGTAGTTAAGTTCACAGGATCTGGAAACAATCTGTCCAAGTCCTAGTTCTGACTTTTAGTGTAACCTTTCATAGTCTTTAACCACTTTGTGTAAACTCCTCATCTGGTTATATTTTAGAGGGTTTTAGGATTAAATGAGATAATGTATGTAAAGCTGTTATAGTTTCTGGTACTGTTAGTAATGGTAATTGGATATACTTGTTATATTTTTCACATGTTAGTCTTTGGTAGCAAAACATACTTTAAATGTATTCAAATACTGTTTTTGAGAATGTTTTTTAAAAAGCATGGCAGTTTTATCTTCTGTATTCCAATTTCAAGAAGGGAAGAAGAAAAAATGTTAAAAATTATATGAGAAGCATGTTGAATCATAAGATTTAAATTAGAAGGGACCTTTGTGCAATTTCTCATTTTACAGTGAAAGAAGCCAAGACTCCAAGAGATTAAATGACTTGCCCAAAAATTGTGTATCTAATTAATGACAAGGCCAGAAATAGATTCCATATCTTTTGATTCCCAGCCCAATGCCATTTCTATAAAATGAAATTGACTTTTAGTTATCAGTGGAGAATTGAAAATTGAACCAGTAGTATATGAACTCTTTCAGCTTTTCACCCCACCACTCAATTATATATTTCCCTGTCTCTGCATTCATCTAACCATCTATTTGTCTTAAAAGAAAAATTGTCTTTTTTTCAATTCAAGGCATATCTCTCCTCCTGTAATCTTAATTCTATCCAATCCTGCTTTCCCTGGGGCTTTAGATGATCGTTATCCATCTCCTTTTTCCTGTATTTTCATTCTTTCCTTGCCACTGTGTCTTTCCCTTTAGTATAACAATATGCTGAAGTCTCTTCCTTCTTCAACTTCATGTCCTCATCTGGCTGGTCATGACTTTTTTTATTATAAATGATAAAATTCTACTCAAAATGACTTAAGCACAAGAAAGGGAAAAAATTGTTTCATGTAAACTGAAAAGTATCTGGCTTAATTCTGACTAAATCAAGGAACTCATGCCTCTGGCTTTCTCTCAATCTTTTAGCTATGCCTGTTGCTAATTGGTTTTACTTTTTAAATAGGGTTTCTCACACGGCATAAGTTAGTAGCCCCTAACTTATATCTTAACAGTTTAGCAGCCTCAGTGGAAAAAGGTAGTCTTCCCTGTTAGTTTTGGCAGACCAGAGCTCATGCTAACTGGCCTCAGTTGAGTCATGTGTTTATCCCTTGATCAATCTCTGTAACCTGAGGATTGGGTCATTATGTAACTGTGGCCCCAGGGAAGGCATGGTACCATGAATGATGGCCTTATAAGGATCACATGGAATTGTAGAAATAATTTCCCCAAAGGAAAGGGAGGGTACTCCCACTAAAAGAAAGGAAAGCATATCAGGCAGACAAAAACCGGAATTCTCGAGTCCCTGTACCCTCTATCTCTTGCTTTCTCATCAAAATAATAATTAATTGAAAGAGGACCATCCTGACCAACATAGAGAAACTCTGTCTCTACTAAAAATACAAAAATTAGCCATGCATAGTAACACCGGCCTGTAGTCCCAGTTACTCAGGAGACTGAGGCAGGAGAATTGCTTGAACCAGGGAGGTGGAGGTTTCAGTGAGCTGACATTGTGCCACTGCACTCCAGCCTGGCAACAGAGCGAGACTCCCATCTCAAAAAAAAAAAAAAAAAAAAAAAAAAAAGGAGGCCAGGCATGGTGGCTCACGCCTGTAATCCCAGCACTTTGGGAGGCTGAGGCAGGCAGATCATGAGGTCAGGAAATCGAGATCATCCTGGATGACTCAGTGAAACCCCATCTCTACTAAAAATACAAAAAATCAGCCAGGCATAGAGGTGCATGCCTGTAGTCCCAGCTACTCAGGAGGCTGAGGTGGGAGAATCACTTGAACCTGGGGACGAAGTTTGCAATGAGCTCAGATCATGCCACTGTACTCCAGCCTGGACAACAGAGCAAGACTCCATCTCAAAAAAAAAAATCTACAAAGAACTAAAACAAATATACAAGAAAAAAACAACCCCATCAAAAAGTGGGCGAAAGAAATGAACAGATGCTTTTCAAAAGAAGATATTTATGTGGCTAACAAACATGAAAAAATGCTCATCATCACTCGTTATTAGAGAAATGCAAATCAAAACCACATTGAGATATCATCTCACGACAGAATGGCAATCATTAAAAAATCAGGAGACAACAGATGCTGGCGAGGATGTGGAGAAATAGGAACGCTTTTACACTGTTGGTGGGAGTGTAAATTAGTTCAACCATCGTGGAAGACAGTGTGGCAATTCCTCAAGGATCTAGAAATAGAAATACCATTTGACCCAGCAATCCCATTACTGGGTATATACCCCAAGGATTATAAATCGATCTGTTATAAAGACAAATGCACACATGTTAATTGCAGCAGTGTTTACAATAGCGAAGACTTGGAATCAACCCAAATGTCCATCAAAGATATACTGGATAAAGAAAATGTGGCACATATTCACCATGGAATACTATGCAGCCATACAAAAGGATTAGTTCATGTACTTTGCACGGGGCGTGGATGAATCTGGAAACCATCATTCTCAGCAAACTGACATAAGAACAGAAACCAAACACCACACGTTCTCACTCATAAGTAGGTGTTGAACAGTGAGAACCAATGGACACAGGGAGAGGAACATCACACATTGGGGTCTGTTGTGGGGTGGGGGCTGGGGGAGGGATAACATTAGAAGGAATACCTAATGTAGGTGACGGGGATGGAGGCAGCAAACCACCATGGCACATGTTTACCTATGTAACAATCCTGCACGATCTGCACATGTACCCCAGAACTTAAATTTTTTTTTTTTAAAGAGCAATTGACACTCAATATGCTCACTTCATTAAACCCTAGTTACTCTTTATTCATTAAAATTTGGGTTTTCTCTGCATCATTCCTTTGAAACTGCTTTTGTTCAGGCGGTTTAGTGACTTTCTAAGTTCTGAATTCAGTGAATTGTTTTCAACTGTTACTCTCTTTGATCTCTGTAGTATTTGATACTTTGGTCTTTCCTTTCTTTTGGAAATCTCTCCTTTGGTTTCAATTAAACCATTGTACTGGTTTCCTATTACTTCTTAGACCGCATGGGCTTTTCTTCCTGTTGATGTTGCAAAATGATTCTTTTTTCTTTCTTTTTTATTCTTCTCGCTTCAAAAACTTTTCCTAGACAATATCACCCAAGCCCATGTCTTTAATCACTATGTCTTGATAATTTCTAAATCTGTATCTCCCATGTAGATCTTTTTTTCTAACTCCAAATCCATCTATATAATTACCTTCCTGGACATATCCACCTAAAAGTTAACATATCAGATATGTCAGCATTGAAACTCTGTCTTCTTTGTACCTCACTCTGAACCTTCTCTTTTTTCCTTAGCTCAATGAATGAACTCTTCTTTGTTAAGCTGCTAAAGGTAGAAAAAGCATCCTTCTAAATAGCTCACCCCACATGTAAATAATAACCAAATGTTAATTATTTTGCCTCCTGCACATCTCTCATATTTGTTATTTCCTCTCTATCCTTTCTGCTGATACTCTCTAGCTTAAGCATTCATTCTCTCTCATTCACTGCAATAACTTACTTTTATCTCTGCTTTTGTCTCATTTTCCTTCAATCCATGATATTCCAAGTGATCTAATGGGCAAATCTGGTTGTGTAAACCTTTTGCTGCAACATCTTCAAAAGTTATCCTTTGCCTTTAAGAAAAAAACAAGCAAAAGAATCTCCTCAGTATGGCAAATAAGCTTCAACATGATCTAGCACTTAACTGCCTGTGCAGACACAGTGGACCCTGCCTTCTCCTACTTTGTGCTACAGAAATCCTGAAAACTTACAGTTACCCCAAAATTCTCTTTCCTGTCATATTGGTGTGTCTTTTACATGGTGCTCTCCTTTCATGGAATAGGTTGCCTTTCCTCTTGCCCTGCTTCTCAACCACAGCTCTATCAAGCTGAAATTCTGACTACTCATCCTTCATATGTTATCACCCTAGGAGTCTGTCATGTGGTATCACCTTAGAAGAGTACATCTCTCTTCCATTGCATGTTTAGATCCTTCTTCCTCTACATTCCCATTGCATTCTGTATCTACTTCCATTTTTAGTACATATATACATTGTGTGCCTCAGTGTGTGCGTTTTAACATATAAAAATAGAATACTGTGAACTATAGTTATAGGTACAGTTGAAGAATAAAGAAGGGTTTGGGTAGGTGAATAAATGGATAAAGAATAAAGTGGAGGAAACTCAGTAATATGTTGGAGCAAGTTTATATTGACTTATGAGAGATGATTATTAAATTTTCAAGAATCTTTCAGCCACATAAACTGAATTAAATTATGTTAAAAACAAAGGCAAAGGCCAGGCATGGCCTGTAATCCCAGCACTTTAGGAGGCTGAGGCAGACGGATCATGAGATCAGGAGTTTGAGACGAGCCTGACCAACATGGTGAAACCTCGTCTCTACTAAAAATACGAAAAAATTAGCTGGATGTGGTGGCACATGCCTGTAATTCTAGCTACTCAGGAGGCTGAGACAGGAGAATTGCTTGAACCCAGGAAACGGAGGTTGCAGTGAGCCAAGATTGTGCCACTGCACTCCAGCCTGGGCAACAGAGTGAGACTCCGTCTCAAAAATAAACAAAGGCAAAAATACTCAAAACTCATCACTTCCTAATTGTTCTACTTCGTTTTACTGTTATCTATGTTCTTAAGGTTATTTATCTATATGGTAGAAATACTATGTAATAGGGTGCTATCGTGCATTTTCCCCAACTTCTTAATCAATTATGTCACATTAGTAGCTTGAAATCAGTTATGGTGGGAACATTTATACCATAGGAATCAGCAAACACTTTAAATCTGGGTTTGGTTTATTGTTTTGCTTATTTTTAGACCTGAGAAAGTGATAGATAAAATTTTAATAGTGTAGATTAAATAACCGTATATTGTTACTGTAGCCATTACATTGTGAATAACACAAAAAATTGAGAGAATATTCTTCTAGTATTTGAAAATTACTATCTAATTCAGGAAAGAAGTTGCTCAAGTCAATGATGAATGAGTAAAATCCCAACAGATGTCTTTGTTGTTTTATTAATACTTTCACCTTACTTGCTAGAGTCAACAAAAATGTCAACATTCACATGAGAGCTACACTCGTCACTTGCAACCACAGGTTGACAACAGAAGAGTGGCAAAACTTAATGAAAGTATTCAATGATACTCAATTAGATATGCGGAATTTACATTTAAGCATACCATATATGTTATTGTTATTTGTAAATTATGTGCTGTATAGCCTTTATGTCAGTAAAGTTTATAATAAACATATATATATTAATATGCATACATTTTTTGTAGAGGTAGTTATTTAACATTTATTAACACAATACTATGTAAAACTGTACAACTAAAGGCATTTAGCTCCCCTTAACAATCTTTTGAGGTAGATACTGTTGTTGTCTTCTTTTGCAGAATCAGGAAGTTTGAATTACTTGTCTACGACCATACAACCAATAAATGAGAGAGGTGGAATTTTCACTTAGGTAGTTTGGCTCTAAATCCAGGCTGTATACAGTCAATAACACCGAGGATTTTTTAGCAGGAGAAAAATAAGTATTCTTTATTTTGGACAAATACATTTTACAGCAATACTGAAAATTAACTTTAGGTAGAAGATCTGGAGGAGGAAGACCATTTTGGAAACTATTATAAGCCAATCTTGAAGTAGAGTTATTTTAATATCAGAATTAAGAGGAAAAACTTATTGCCTAAAATTTTTTTTTGAAGTTTAGTGCAACTGTCAGCACATGTAATACAGTTAACAGAATTGGCTGAATACCATATTCAACAATGCTTGACACAATGCTTTTGAAAACTAC